GCGCAGGCCCCGTAGCGTCGCTGTGATGCCCCTCCCCGCGACGGGGGAGGTCGTCGACGGCGTCGTCGCTGATGCTGCCTGCGGAGACCCCCGCAGGATGCCCTTGGCGTGGTAGTGCGCCCCGCAGGCCCCTACCCAGCTGTCGGCGTGGGCGGGCGCGTAGCGGCCCAGCCGGCGCTGCTGCTCCTGCGCCGTGGGCTGCGGTTGCCGAATGGCGGCCCCCTCTGTCTGCCAGCGGCTCCGAGCGTGGCTCCCTGACTTTGTCGCCGGGCCTTCGCTCGGCCGGCTGGCCCTGGTTGCGCTTGTGGGCCAGGGTCACGGGTCCAACTACACATCCCAAATGGGGTTGAATTCTGAGGCGCTGTTCTAGGTCGCAGTCGTGCATGCGCGGGCTGTCGGGATCAGCTCCCTGGCGAATATTTGCTGCTGGGCGTGGCGTCTCCATGTGGGGCCCCGGCCCGCCAACCCCGAAACCTACTGCCTGCCCTTGGTCGTCGCGTAGAGGAGGGGGCAGGTCTCTACCCGCCTCGCTTCTTGCGCCTAGGGGCGCGCCTCATCGCGATGCTCGGCGGCGCTGCTGCAGCCGCCGCCCTCCTCCAGTCGCATTGCGCGTCGGCCCCCTCCGTTTGCGAGACCGCCCCCGTCGTCGATGACGCGGGCCCTTTTCCTCGCGCTCTGGCTGCTGGCGGAGGATGCAGATCGCGATGCCGCTCTGCTGCCTTCGCTGCTGTCACCGATCTTCTTCTGGCCCCCGAATCCCTCCATCCTCGGCCCCTCCGCTCGGGGCCTCGTCGCACTTGGCGGGGGGTGTTCCTCTAGATCGAACTTCTCGGTGTCCGATATCGCGATAAAGTCCCGATCCCCCCCCCGGCCCTCGCGGACTTCGCCGCGGCCCTCGTCGGTCGACAGTGCGGGCGAGCAGCACTCTGGGACCTCTTTCCTCCTCCTCTGGCGGCTGCAGGGCGTCTCCATGCCGAGCTTGCTGAGCATGAGCATGTCCTCCATGCCGTCGCTGTATTGATCCTCCTTCGCCTCGGGCTTGTAGTCCGTCGCGGCGTTGCCTATCTGCTCGGCGATGGCCGCTTCCTCGCCCTCGCGCTCCTCGAGGCATTGCTCTATCCTTTCCTTGCCGTTGTCCTCCGCCATTTTCTTCTGTTCCAACCTTATATGTTCCTGTCTGTCCAGCTCGGCCTGGATCTCGCCGTCGTCGTCGAATGCGTCGAGGGCGCCCGTGCCCGACGGGGAGATGTTGCAGGGGCCGAAGGACGGCGGGGACGGTTCGTGACAAGCCCATAGGAGGGTCTCCCTATCGCGCTCTTGGTGCTAGTGTTCCGCGAGGGCCTGCGCCGCGTTCTTCTCGAGGGCCAACAGGTGCTGCTCGGTCTCTTCTGCGGCGATTGCCTGCTCGATCTCCTGCTCCTGCGAGTCTCGCGCCAGGAGGGGCATGCGCGCGCGGCGGGCGCAGGGGGGTCAACTTCACCTCGGTTATCTGCGCGAGCGGGACTGCTGGGGGCGGTTCGCCCGATGGTGATGTCGTCGAACACGGGGCTTGCATCTGGGCGTCGTCTGCGTTGATCGCGGTCCCCAGTTATGTTGGCAGTTCGGCCTCAAGGGCGGCGCGGCCTGAGTTGCCTGAATCGCGGGCCTTGTTCTCGGCGTCCTCGACCCCCATGTCCATCTTTCGGCTCTCATCTTGCCTTTGGTATTCTTTCTGCTCCAGAAATGTACTTCAACTCATTCTCGCGCTCCTGCTGGAGCAGGTCGACGCGGCGCTGGTCCTCCCAGCGCCGCTGCTGCAGGGCAAGCTCGAAGCGTTGCTGGACTGGCATATGTTGGGCGGCCCCTTGCACCTTCAGTTTATGGACAATTGCCTCGTGGTTTTCTTCGGTCTGCCTCCTGTGCTGCTTTCGCATGTCCTCCAACTTCCTGGCTGCGTCTCTGGCATACCTGATTTCCTGTAGCAGGACTTCTTGTTTGGCCTGCTGCGCCATCTCCAACTGTCGCGCCTCGGCTTCTTTAGCTTGTGCCTGCATGTGCAGGTAGTTGGCGGCGTGGCCCTGTTCGTCACGTACTTCCTTGTTCCTCTTCATGACCTTTTCTCGCATTGCTTCTTCCTGGGCGCGCCTCTTCTGGGTGTCGCATTTCCGCCGGAACTCCGCTCTTAGCTCCTCCTCCTTCTCCTCCTGCAGCTTCTTGCTCTCGGCCTCGGTCTCCGCAGCCTTCTCCTGCTTCCTTCGGGCGCCTGCTGCGAGCCGTGCCGCCCGTAGCTCTTCGCCGTGCCTGTTCTCACTGCCACGGTGCATGGGTGCAGTCGTTCGATCGGTCTGGCTGATCTTGGCCGGGATCGCCTTCTGGAAGTCGGCGTTGCACTTGGCTTCGACCTGCACCGCCTTGGCGAGGTCCTTCATGATGTTGTGGATCACTCGTCTGCAGATGGCACTGGCGATGGGGCTGCAGGTGCTGCGCACGAGGGGGCGGTGCATGACCTGCTGGGCGGGCTGGTCGGCCGCGCGCCCTGCTGGCCTCGCGGTGGCCTCGTCTGACTCCCCGAAGTCGTCGCGGACGTCCAATATGTTCTTGCGCTTGACAGTGAGGTCCGCGAGGTTCTTCTGCCAGCGGTGGCGCTCATTCTTGGCCTTGTATATCTGCCGATCCAAATACTCGAACTGCTTGTGGATGTGCTCTGTCGGTCTGAAGGCCGGCTTCAGTGACTGCTGGACGAACCTGAAGACCCCGATCTCTTCCTCGATGTCTTCTGGGTTCTCCCCCGCACCCCTGGCAGCGATCACGTACAGCGCCAGGGGCTCCAGCCGCTGCTTCACCTCGTCGCGCTGCAGCTCGAAATATTTGCCTTGCAGCGGAGCCTGGAACGCGCTGTGCACTGCCGCATTCGCCGATCTCGCGATGGGGATACTCTCGATGACCTTCTCAAGGCTCGCGATGGATGGGCGGCTGGCGTCCTCGCCGCGCTGCCTACGTGCTGCAGGGGTCTGAATCCTCCTTCCGTTCCATCTCTGGCCGTGCTGCTGCTGCGCGGCCTGCTGCTGCTGCTGCAGCTACTGGGAGTGTTGCGACTGCTGCTGCTGCTGCTGCTGGCGTTGCTGCTGCGGCTGCTGCTGCTGCGGGCGGGGTCCTCTCTTGCGAAATGATGGCCGTGAGGTCCCTCGGCGGGAGGATCTCCACGGAGCACTCTTCTGCCAGCCATCCTCCGTCCAGCCGTCGCTTCGCCATGGGGCAGCCTCGGGGCATCTGTGCGTCATCGTGACGCCCTCGCGCTGATGCTGCTGCTGCTGGTGGCGCTGGTGCTGCTGGGCTGTGGCCTGCTGCGCGGAGTGGTGGCCGTTGCGGACCTGTGCCGCGTCCAGCACGCGGAAGAGTGTCCTCGCGGCGGCCCTCTTCTCCCGCTGACGCCTGTGCCAGGCGGGTTCGCCCTCGCGGGGCGTGGCGGCTGCGCGCCGCCGCGGCTGCGGCACCGATGGCGCGCCGCGCGCGGCCACGAGCGGCGGGGGCGACCGACGGTGACGACGGCCCCACCCCTCATCAGCCCGTGGCTTTCCTCCTCCTCCTCCTCCTCCTCCTTCTCCTCCTATCTCATCCTCCTCCTCCTCCTCTCATTCATCATCATCATCATCATCCATCATCATCATCATCCTCATCATCCTCATCCTCATCCTCATCCTCATCCTCATCTCACCCATCTCATCCTCAGCTCAGCCTCATCTTCATCCTCCTCATCCTCATCCTCATCCTGATCATCATCATCATCATAATCATCATCATCATCATCATCATCATCATCATCATCATCATCATCAACATCATCATCATCATCCTCATCCTCATCCTCCTCCTCCTCCTCCTCCTCCTCATCATCATCATCATCATCATCATCATCATCATCATCATCATCCTTTTCCTCCTCCTGCTCCCCTCCTGCGGACCGGCTGCACGCAAGAGCGACCCTGGGCAAGAGTGGCCTTTGTTGCCCGGCTTAACGGGGGAGGCGTGGGGTGGCCAGACCTGGGCGCGCAAGGCTCTGCCACCGCTTCGCGCTTGGCGATCGGGGGACCCCATTGGGCCCGCACCAAAATAGGGCGACGAAATCTATACCTATCCACTGCTCCCTGGTCAGGCCCATCCTGAACCCAGCAAAGGTGTATACGACACGCCCTCCAAGCTTGGCCAGGAGGGCGTAGAAACGGCTCCCATGTTCAGCATGGGCCGGGCCAGGGAGCAATGGCTACGTATATCTTCCGCCGCCTGATAAACCCAGACCCCCGACGCCATGATTTTTTCACAACGCCGACCCCCAGAGGTCTCGACCCATTCCCCAGCGCCGGCTTTTCATCCCGAGTCGTTTTCTGGCGGTCCCGAGGCCGGGCGAGGGCCCCCGGAGGCCCAACAGAGCGCAAAACCTCCCGTCGCGACTCTTGTCAGGACCCGCCGGGGGTCTGGGAAGGTCACTCCGACGAAGGGTCGCTCGTAGGTCGAGTCGATGAGGATCGCTCCGCGCTCGGCGCGGCCAGAGCCCTCGCGGGCCGGCGCAGGCGCCGCACGCCCTCGCGGGCAACACCGGCGCCAGGCGCCGAGGGGCCACCGAGTGCGCGGGATCGCGCCCTGCCGCGGCGCGGCAGGGGCGCGCGCCGAGGGGCGCCGCGGCGAGGCTGGAAGGTCGGCGAGGTCCTCCTCCTCCTCCTCCTCCTCCTCCACCTCCTCCTCCTCCTGCTCCTCCTCCTCCTCCTCCTCCTCTTCCTCCTCCTACTCCTCCTCCACCTCCTCCTGATCCCCCTGCTCCTCCTCCTCCTCCTCCTCCTCCTCCACCTCTCCTCCTCCTCGTCTTCTCCTCCTCCTCCTCCTCCTCCTCCTCCTCCTCCTCCTTTTCCTCATTATCCTCCTTCCCCTCCTTCTCCTCCTCTTCCTTCTCCTAGCTGCCGCTGTGGCTTCAGCAACGGAGTGGCTTAGAACATGCGACCAACAGGTTCCCCTTACTGAACCGTTGGCTAGCGGGCGTCGCTGGGAGATGCGACAGGCGCCATGAACCTCCTGGGTTGTCTCTTCCTCTCGCTGATGCCTCTCTGGCGTACCCATCAGAGTGCAGCTGGCCCTTCATGGAGTTTGCGCAATACAATTCTTTGGCTTGTACACGTGCTGACCAAATCGACGATATCAGCACGACCTTCGCGGATGTGGAGGCGGTGGCGATCACGGGCACCCAGCTGAAGGCCAGGGGGGCTGGCCGTTCAGCGTCGGCGCGTGCGTGGCCGTCTATTGCTGGAGGCAGATTGGAAGCGTGAGCCCAATTCTGACAGGGCTTGCGGGGTGTCCGCGTTGTTGCATCAGCGCTTTCGTGATGAACACGTTCGAGCGGTTCGGAGTGCTAAAGGCTTGGCTGGGTGGTGTCTGGCAGTACGAGTGCGCACTATGACGGAGGACTTCACGATTTTGACGCAGCATTATCCGCCTAAGATGACAGAGACGGAGAAGCAGGCGGCCTACAAGAGGACGGTGCGGGCCATGACGCAGTAGCTCTATCGTGAGCTTGCGGCTTGCCCGTCCAGACGGGTTCAAGTCGTGACGTGTGACCTGAATGATGGGTTGTGCCTGCAGCAGAGCGACGATACGAAGGAGGTTGACGAGGATATGGTTTTCTTCCCTGGTGCGAGTCTTGAACACTTTGCTGGCGCTGCTTTTCGAGAGGTAACGACGAAGTGCGACCTCCCCACTTTCGTCAGCGAGACGTCGAACTCCATCCTGGGTTACGTGTGCGTGCCGCAATCCATGCGGGAACGGGCGGTGTGCGTGGCGGATGCTCTCATGGGCGAGGGGCGCCGGCTCCAGCTCATCAACGTGGCAGGGAAGCGAGATGATGTACCAGTATGTCTAGAAGTGACGCGCCCGTCTTTTGCCCGCCAGGAGCAGCAGACCAGCCATCAGCAGCCGCATCTTGGCAATCGGAGATTGCACCCTGATGCGATGATGGCGGCTTTGAGGGGAGGGGTGGGCTTGAGGGACTTCTTGGACGGGATAGAGGGGAGGATGGAGGGGCAACAACAGGAGTGGATGCTCTTGGCATCGCAAGGCTCTCCTGGACCGTTTGTTTCAGTTTCTTGAGCAGGTTCTGTATGATGTTGCGTGCTCGTTTTGTTTCAAAAGCGTCTCAGAGTGTGCCAGGACGAACCGAGCCAGAGGGGACCCGTTCCAAAGTGCTGCGGCGTCGCCGAGAGCTTCGGGTGTCCCTTGCTGGGGCGTCAGTTGAGACCCTGGAGGCCGTGTCGGCGGAAGTTCGCCTGGTCATCAAAACGTTGAGCCGTATGGCGCACGGGGCTTTTAAGCAACGTCGAGAGGAACACCTTGAGCACCTGAAAGATTACTGGGGGTCTCGTGACCTTCACAATGGTTTGTTTCACGCGCGTCTGGCGGCAGGAGTGCGGATCTGGCCAGAGAAAATGAAAGTGCTCGAAGTTCGCACTTCCCAGCGTGCGGGAGGGGAGCAATCGGCGTTCTGGGCGATGCCTGGACCTCAGGGAGGCATGGAGGCGGTGGAGCTTCATGGGGCGGGAGGATTTGCCAGAGTTGCAGAATTACAGCACACCGTTTCGTTCACACGAATCAAAGATGGCGCAATATGATTTAACGTGTGTTTGCAAGCAGTTGTGTCGAGTAAATAAGCGGAGAGTTACACCTGAGTGGTGTGCTCCCATAGAGCTGTGGGACATGGCTCTTAACCATGTGTTGGGGATCCCTGCTAAGAAGGAGGTTGGAGGCGTGGGGGCTCCTGACCCAGCTTTGACTACTTGTTCTGTTCACGCGAGCGATGAATCTAGGATTGTGGCGAATCAGGTCGTCGCTGCACACACCGAGAGTTTGGCACTGTAGTGAGCCGAGTGGTCTTAGGAAGTCGGAAGCGAAGGGCCCTGGCAAGAGATGGGTACACATGTTGCCCTCGATCGGTAAAGTATGGCACTCGGCTTTGATGAACAGATCGATCATGGCTCCAAGCGTGCACCGCTATCACCCTGGTAAGAATAAGATAAACCCCCTGTGCTGGTTTCCGCCTTCTTGGCGCGGAGAGATCGGCGTGAGGGGCGATCTCTTTGTGGGCAGCACTTCGATGCAACCAGCGTGCTCGGAAGCACTTCGCAGTGTGGGCTTCAGCTGACCCCGGCACTCTGCATCGCTCATGTGCTTCCGCCAGCCTCCGCGGGCGGAGGCGGCCTCGATGTACCGCCGCGGGCCTCTGCCCTTCCGCCGCCCTCCCGCCGTGGTAGAGATGCCAACTTGTCCGACCCTGGAAGGCGCGGCCCTCTCTGGAACGCTCCACGTATCTCCACGTCTCGCCGCGGCGCTTGTCCTCGACGCGCCCACGTGGACGACGCCGACACCACGGCAAACCCACGGCAAACCCCGCGCCCCGCGCCCCAATGGGACGCACAGGGACATTCTAGTACTGGGTGTCCGCCTTGGAAGCGTGCGCCCGACCCGAACAGGTAGAATGCAACCACCTTGCAGTGTCCCGTCCCCCGAGCGGTATGGCCAGAATGCGCCCGCGACGGAGCTTACACCATCAGATTTCTCGGTGCGCGCGTCGCCCCTGGCATGGCGACGCACACATAGTACCAGCATGTTGGGATGATGCCAGCCCAAGGTAGCCGAAGCCGGCACCGCGGCAGACCCCACGGCGAGCCCACTGCGCCCGAGGCGGCGCTTGCCTCTATGGCCGCAGCGCCCTCCCTGAGGCGTCGCGCCGCGCCTTGGCACAAGCGGCGCGGCTTGGGTCGCGCGTGGAGGGTCGGGGCGGGAAAGAGAGAACGAGGCTGAAGAGGTTCCATCCACATCTGCCGCAATTCTGCACCAACACCTCTCCCTTGAAGAGAAGGCGGTGGGGCAGTACTCGGTCGAGCATCTCTCTTGTCGCCACCCGGGTGGTAGAAGAAGGAAAAGACGCCATAAACATAAACTTTTTGCGCTCCGCGCGGGTTTCTTGGACCTGCGCTGGACACTCTCCCTGGCGCGCGGAGCGCGCCAAGGGCGGCGCCGGAGGCGCCGCTGGGGGGGCCCAACGCGGATCCAAGAAATACGCGCGGAGCGCCAGAAGCCTATGTTTATGCCGCTTCCTCTGCTCCGAAGCAGACGACCAGGGGGCCATGGCGCAGACGCCTCTCCTCTGGGAGGCAGCGACCGCCGACGGCCAGCGCGCGCCGACCCAGGCTCGGGCCGGGCGAAAGGGGGGGAAAGCAAAGGGGGGCTTGAGGATCAGCTCACGTGGCCGATTTTCCCGGCGCCTCCTGGCGCCGGAGGCGCCCGTGTGTGGAGGAATGGCCCCATCGGTGGGGCCGAAACCAGCTGCGTGCAGCACATTGGGTAAGCCCCCCTTTCCCAATCCCCTCCCTTTCTCGGCGGTGGACAAACCTGACTACCTACCAGACCACCCCAACCCAACCCGAAGACCCGAATTTGACCCGAATTTCGGGTTGGGGGGGGTACGGATACCATGTGTTTTTTCAACGTTCCCCGACCCCCCCCCACTGGAAATCGAGGATAAATTTGGGCCTTCGGGTTGGGTTGGGGTGGTTTGGTGGGTGGTGAAAACCTGCCTTCAGCAAACCTCCCCTTGGTGAAAAAAAACGGCCTGGGACCGACACCGACGGAGCTGGGCCCGCAGGAGCGACGGCCGCGGCGCCCTCTCTCGCGGACCGAGGGCGGCCAATGCCTCAATCGACGCGTCAGGGTAGGAGGAGGAGGAGGAGGAGGAGGAGAGGAGAGGAGGAGGAGGAGGAGGAGGAGGAGGAGGGAGGAGGAGGAGGAAGAGAGATGAGGAGGAGGAGGGGAGGAGGAGGAGGAGGAGGAGGAGGAGGAGGAGGAGGAGGAGGAGGAGGAGGGAGGAGGAGGAGGAGGAGGAGAGGAGGGAGGAGGAGGAGGAGGAGAGAGGAGGAGGAGGAGGAGGAGAGGAGGAGGAGGAGGAGGGGAGGAGGAGGAGGAGGAGGAGGAAGGAGGAGAGAGAGGAGGAGGGGGAGGAGGAGGAGGGAAGAGGAGGAGGAGGAGGAGGAGGAGGAGGAGGAGGAGGAGGAGAAGGAGGAGGAGGAGGAGGAGGGGGAGGAGGAGGTCTGTCCACCCCCGACTTTCGCTCGGCCCGCCAGGCGGTCCTGAGCGCCAGGCGGCTCGGGGAAAAACTGCGCGGCGGGGGGGCAGCGGGCCCGCGCCCGGGGCGGAGAGAGAGGCGAGAGCCGCCGGGGCGTCGGGAGCGCAGGGTCAAGTCGGGCCTGTCCCTCTACAGGAGGAAAATTCAAAAATAGTAAAAAGATAGTCTGGGGACTATTTTCTGAATATGTTTAACCATCTTTTGGGCATTTTTGGTGTATTTTTTTATCTTCCGTCCAAAATCCAACTATAGGGGGACAGGCCCGACCTAAGCGCAGGGGACAGCAGCAGGACGAGCAGCCAGAGACGCTGTGGCACCTCCCCCACCTGTGGCGGCAAGTTCTGAGAGCCTCCCCCCTTCCCATCTTGTCGGCTCTTGCGAATCGGCGCCAGTCGACGCTACATCGACGCCAATCGACTCCAAGTCGACGCCAGTCGACGCCAAGTCGGATCGACGCAAAAATCGACGCAAATCGGCGCTATCTCATGGACACCCAGGCGCTCATCGACCCACGTCGAGGCTGAAGATCTACCAGGAGCCCATGATTTGCCACCGAACCCCTCCCCCTGATGAGAAGCAGGTTCGCACTATGACGCGGCAGTAATGCAGACGTGGGTGGATATGGTGATGCTCTCTATGTTGTTTCTGTCGGCTACACGCGGGAGTGGCCCTGAGTCAGAATGACCTTTGGTGCGCGGGTTTTTGGGCGCCGCGGGGGGACCAAATACAAGCGCGCAAAACGCTGCTACCGCACCGCGCTCGGCGCCGCACCAAAGGCTACTCCGGCGAAGGGTCACTATCACGCGTGGTCTATTCGCCCTCGCAATCACGCACCCCAGCTTTGTGCGCCGGTCTGTGCCTGACGTACGGCAGGTTCGTGTCGTGTCGACCTCGGCGTTGGTTCCCGACATCGCGGGGATCGTTCAACCTTGCACGATCGGCCGTTCCCGAAACGTCAAGATCGTTCATCAACGCTCGATTTTGGGTCGCGGGCGACGTTCAACGTTGAACATCCGCGGCGGGGTTGCCGCGGATCGACACGACGCGAACCGACCGTATCCTCTTGTCTGGCAGCGGTGCTGATCGCCCGTGCACGTGCTTGTCCGCCTGAGGCCCATCGAACATAAGCGCCTGCTGCCTGGCCAGCGTGGCCCCTTCCGGGGAGACGGACTTGAGCGGTGCTACGGGTGAAGGAGGGGCGAAGGAGAGCCAACGAGGACAGGGCAGGACAGGGAAGATACAGCCTGCAACTGGTCTCCTGCCCAACAGCCCCTTCAAGACACCTCCCCTTGCCCGAGACACAGCCAGGACAGGGACAACATCGGGCAGGGCTAGATCGAGAGATCCGGCGGTCCTCCTCTCTGAGATCCTCCGGTCCTCCCCCTGCTCCTCCTCCTCCTCCCCCCTCCTCTTCCTCCTCCTCCTCCTCCCCCTCCTCCTCCTCCTCCTCCTCCTCCTCCTCCTCCTCCTCCTCCTCCTCCTCCTCCTCCTCTGGACTGCTCCGAGAGCGCTCAGGAACGCTCCGGAACGGTTTCTATCCCCGCCCTGGCCCCGCCCCACAGCCACGAGGCAACTCCAGCAGGCCCCGCGCGGCAGCCTGGGGCCCAATGCGCGTCGGCTTCGCGCCGGCTTCACGTCGCCTCGCGCCGGATCTGCGCCGGATTCACAGGAAGATCCGCGTCGGCCTCACGTCGGAGCATCGCCGCGCGACCGTCGTCCCACATCTGACGGGGCGGCCGTGCGGACCAGACAGTAGAGCCTATTTCGCGCCGCGCGAGGCCTCCTGGAACCTCCTGCCAGTCGACCGTGGAGAGAAGCGATGGGAGGGGGTGGCGCAGGGGGCCGCCCAGACATCCGAGGCCTCGATTTGTTCGAGGCGTGGGCCCCCGACCTCCCGACCGCTTCCCCGGGACCGGCTTCTCATCCCAGATCGTTGTTTGACGGTCCCGAGGCCCGGCGAGGGCCCCGAGAGGCCGAAGACGATGAAAAACCTCCGTTCCGATTTTTTAGAGACGCCCGCTGTCTGGGGCGGGGGGGGGAGGAAGCATCCAGGAAACCGCGCGTTCCCCTCGGGCCCCTCTCGGCGACCAGTCGGCGAGTGGGGGTCGATATGCATTCCCCCCTGCAGCCCTGGAGGCGGCCAGGGCACCCTCGACCAGGACAGTGAGGATGCGCGGTAGGGATAGCAAGGGCCTTGGAGCGCCATGTGGACGCTTCTCGTGCGGGGCGCAGCAGCATGCCGAAGGGTGCCGAATACCGAAGGGGGCAAGGATGCGAAGGGTAGCCTTGGAAAGTTGCCCCATCCTCACTATCATGGCTGACCGCATCTGAACTGGACGAACCTCACAACAGTCGGCAAATCAAAGGGGGACGAGGGCAAGCCCGCTTCAAGTCGGATCCGAAATCAAGCGCAACATAAAATAGCCCCAAACAGGATTTACATGTTGGGGCTATAAACTAGCCCCAACAGACCTCAGGGGACCCTGGACCCCTGCCGGGATCCATCTCGTGCAGACTTGTCACTCCGCATCCGTTGTGGACGGCCCCGGGGGCCCGAGAACGGTTCCCCGAGGAACGGAACGGAACGGAACGGTCGCTGAAAACGAGCTGCGCGCGCGCGCGGCTACGTGCCCTCACGGGCTCAGCGTAATTGGTCAGCCCATCGTGTCAGAGGGCGCCCGCGGGCTCTCCGCCCGTCAGGTGTCCAGTCGTGGACTCGCCGGTTCCCCGAGGCCGAGAAGGAAAAAAAAACCTTCCCGAGCCCAGCACCTCGAGCCTGCCTCCCCCCCCTCCGACCCTGCTGGCCTGAGCCGGTGCCGGGCCACCTCAGACCTGCAGCCGTCTCCACGGCGGTGGGCGAGGGGGGGCGGGGAGAAGGAGAATGCCTTCTCAGACTGCGGCGGGACTCCGCAGACGTCCTCGCGCCTTCTGGCCATTTTTCTGTGTCCTCGGGGGAGGCTCCAAAAACTGCTCGAGACGCAGGGGGACTTCGGAGCCTCCTGAGAAGGCCCGCTCCTCCTCATCCCCCCCCCTCGCTCGCCGCCGAACTCCAGGCTGAGCCCACCCCTCCCCCGCCCAAGCGCTGCTCCGAAACCAACTGCGGCGGCAGCAGTCCCGGCGCTCCCAGGGCGCAGTCGCGCGCACTGCCCGGGCAGCGGTGAGAGCCTCGCCGCCGCTGCCGCTGGCGAGGTGAGCGCACAGCGGCTCCGGGAGGCCGCTCCGGGCGCTCCGCGCGGGGAGCGTCGGCACGCGCGAGACACAAAGGCGGGAGAAGAGAAAGCGGCCGAGGCGCAGAAGCCACAGCCGCAGCATCTGCCTGTGAGCGCACGCCAGGTGCCGTTCTCGGAAGAGGCAGGCGTGTCAGAGGCGCGGACACGTCGGCACATGACAGGGCCAGTCCAGCCAGCGCCCTGGCGGCGCTGGCAGGGCCAGCGCGGTCCTGTGGACCGAACCCTGCCACCAAGGCTGCTGCTCCAGCCAGTGCGACGCTGATTCGCTGGAGCCGAGGACCCTCAGAATGCGTGTCAGCGCCAACGCGTGCTCGTCCACCGAAGCCCGTCAATACGATGCAGGCGGTGCAAAAACGGCCAGCACAGGCTGTGTGCGATCCGTGGAGCTGAGCGAGGCAAGCACACACACACACATGCTTTGGCGTCGCGGCACGCGCGCAGCGGCGCGGCGTAGTTCAGATCAGGCGAGCGCGCGGACTGGCATGGCCAACGCGGCGAAACATACACACACAGTGGGCGAAGTCGCGTCCTGAGGATCATCGATCGGGCAGTGGGCAGAGACTGCGCTATGCAGAGGCCCAGTTGCGCGCCACTTCGCCGCAGCATCAGGGCCCTTCTCTGTCCTTCTTTTCTTTCCTGGGCTTGTTGGGGTCCCTGATTGGCGGCGCACACAAACGGGCTAAGTAAGGGGTGGGCTTCCAAGAAAGAAGCCCTCCCGCTTCCAGAGAAGCCTGCCCGGCGGACTCCTGAGACACTGCCGAGGGCCCCCCTGTACCCCAACCAGCCTCGAACTCATCCCTATCCCTTGGATCGGCAAGCCCAAGGCGATTACAACCTTAGGGATGTGCCTTCCAAAACGGCGACAACCCTGAACATCGGGATCGTTGACGTTGTTCTCATCTCACTTCAGGACCACATCCCGGATGACATTCCGAGCGCCCAGAACAGTTTCGAAGCAGTGTCTACCCGACACGCTAGCGAGAGGCCAAACGAGTCTCGACTCTCAAGGCCCGACACGTGAAACAGCCTTCCAGTTTCGGTACTTCCCTGGTGATCGAATGTCTTGCTGGTGATCAAAGCTAACATAAGTCGGAACATCATGACTCGAGTCGGGGGAGCGCAAACATGGATTAGCGATCCATGGATTTGGCGGCACCTCCCCAAAATGCGGCCGGTGCCGCCTCACTCGGCGGCGGAATATCCGCGATTTCCCATGGAGACGGGACCCGTCGCTAATCCACGACCCCTTGATCCATGTGTGCGATTGCCTAATACTTGGCGGCGATACAGTCAAAACGAGCAAGAAGGACGGGTGGCAAGGACGCAAGTCCTTTGGAGGCCGAAGTTGGGAATTGTGGGGCGGCGGGCGAACCGTGCAAACGGCAAAGGGCTGGCCGCAGAGGCAAGGACACGAAGGCACCCCAGATGAAGGCGCGCGTCCTTACCAGGCACGTTGACTGCGACGGGGGACGTGGTACAAAAGGGTGCACTCCTCGGGTCCTGGGAGGCCCCCTTGGGGGGGGGCCCCCTTCAGGGGCCCCGTAGGGCCCCTTCTCGGCACCTCCTCCTCCTCCTCCTCCTCCTCCGCCTCCTCCTCCTCCTCCTCCGCCTCCTCCTCCTCCTCCTCCTCCCCCTCCTCCTCCTCCTCCTTCCCCCTCCTCCTCGCCCCCGCTGCCACCCCCGCACTGTCGCCCTCCCAGTACGCGAAACGCCCCAGAGCAGCCGCCGGCGGGCCCCTCGCGGAAGGGGGGGGGCTCCTGGCCAGCCTTCCCCGCGCCGTGCTCCGCCGTGGCTCCGGGCGGGGAAGGAGCCCAGAGATCTCCAGCGCATCGAAAAAATCACGACGGAGGTTTTCCGCCGTCTTCGGCCTCTCGGGGCCCTCGCCGGGCCTCGGGACCGTCAAAAAACGACCCGGGATGAGAAGCCGGTCCCGGGGAAGTGGTCGGGAGGTCGGGGGCCCACGCCTCGAACAAATCGAGGCCTCGGATGTCTGGGCGGCCCCCGCTCGCCCAGCTGCCTCCCAGAACACGACGGCGGCGACGTCCGACGACGCCCGGCCACGCCCGACCAGCTCGCAAGGCCACCCCGACCCGACCCGAAGGCCGACTGGTCGGCTTGGGGGGGGGCACCCAGACACGATCGCGTCGTGAAGAATTCGGGACGGGGGGTTTTTGGCTGTTTTCGGCCTCGGGGGGGCCCTCGCAGGGCCTCGGGAGCGTCAAACAACGACTCAGGACGAAAAGCCAGTCCCGGGGAAAGCGTCGGGACTTCCGGGGGCGCCGTCCTGAAAACATCAGGACGTCGCCTGTCTGGGAACCCGACCCGAAGGCCGACGTTTCGGCTCGGGGGGGTAGTTACGGGTCCCGTCCGTGCCTCTTCGCTGCTCCCCGACGCCCCCCTTCTGGGAGTGGAGGGCAGCTTGGGGCCTTCGGGCTGGGTCGGGGTGGTCTCTGAGGGGTGGCGAACGTCCCAGAGATCCGATGTCGTGATTTTTTCAATACGGGGTCCCAAGAAGTCCCGACCCATTCCCCTGGACCGGTTTTTCGTCCTGAGTCGTTTTTTGACGGTCCCGGGGCCCGGCGAGGGCCCCCAGAGGCCAAAAACTTAGAGAAACCTCCGTCTTGCTTTTTTCAATACGCTGGATCTCTGGGTCTCTGAGGGGTGGCGAACGTCGGCGTCGCAGCCCCCCCGCGCCACCCGCTTGCGTGCGCCGGTGGCCTGGGCGGCTTGGACGGATCCCGGGGCCTCCTCGGGAGGAGGACAGGCGCGGCACGGCCACAGACCGTCGGAGGTCTGCGCGGATGCCGTTTGCATCGGCACCGGGGGGGGGCCTCCTCCTCCCCCTCCCCCGCCCCCCCTCCCCCTCCTCCTCCTCCTCCTCTCCTCCTCCTCCTCCTCCTCCTCCTCCTCCTCCTCCTCCTCCTCCTCCTCCTCCTCCTCCGTTTGCATCGGCGCCGGGGCTTGCCGAAGCGCCAACCCAGGAAACCCGCGGGGGCCTCCGAAAGTGTGTGCTTGGAGCGCGTTCCTTTGCTTTCGGCGATAATGGGCATTGTAGGGGGGGGGGGGGGGGGGGGCAGAGGGGGGGGTAAATGTAACGCCTCCCCCTCGCCGTGCGCACGGCGGCAGTGCCCCGAGCACACTGGGGGGTAGGGGGGCGTTACGTTGTAGGGGGGGAGGGGCGAGGGCTATACCGCCCATGATGCCCAAAGCAATCAAGAAACACGCCCTTGTCTGCAGTTTGTGTTTCTCCAACTCCTCTTCTTCACGACGTCGCCCGACGACGCGGACACGAGTGTCCCCGACGATAGCTCCGCGTCCGACATGCCACGCCCGAGCCCCGCGTCCGACCTGCCACGCCCGTACGTCTGCGGCGACGCGGTCGCCGCGGCCGCTGCGCCGACGGCGTCCGCCGCCGCTTCCAGTCTGCTCTCGGGCGTGTCGGGGGCAGGAAGTCTCTTCTTCCTCTTCCTGTTGGGCACGCACGAGGTGGGTACGCCCGAGGTGGGCACGACCGACTGACCGACCGACCGACCGACCGACCGGCCGACGACGACGGCGACCTTGACGACGATGATGCCTCTGCTTCTGACTACCATTTTTATTATTATTCTTAGCAGTGGGCTTATCCTTACTCTCATTGGCATTAGTATAATCATTATTATTCGTCTCCTTTTCTTAGTCTTCCTTTTAGCCTTCTTAGGCACGCCCGAGGTGGGACGAACATCAACAGCAAGTGCTGTCCAGAGCCGGCAAGCGGCTCTGCTGGGCAGGCGACGTGTCTCCTGCCCCACACGGCCAGCGCCCACCGCGGCACAAACAGCGGGGGTGCTCATACTCCCTAGGGGCTGCGACTGGGCGGTAGCCGCCAGGGCGGCAAATGCGGCCTACCGCAGGCGCCCCCTGGTGGTGGCGAACCCCCATCTCTGGGGGCGGCGTCGCATCATGCAGGGCCCTGAGGGAAATGGGTCTCGGACTCCGGGGGCCTAATCCGAGAAACACCTCGTCGTCCTGAGCCGGTGTCGAACAGTCCCAGGGCCCGTGGGGGGCCCTGGGAGTCTGAAAACGGTCGAAAGTCTGCAGACTCGTTTTCCTCGGGACCCGTCTGCTGCACGGCGGCCTGCTCAGAATGATCATCACTCTCACCATCAGCAGCAGCAGCAGCAGCAGCATCAGTAGCAGCATCGGCATCAGTACCCACATCACAATCATCGCCGTCATCATCATCATCATCATCATCATCAGCATCATCATCATCATCATCATCATCATCATCATCATCATCATCACCATCACCATACCATCACCACACATCACATCATCATCATCATCATCATCATCATCATCATCATCATCATCATCATCATCATCATCATCATCATCATCAATCATCATCAGCAGCAGCAGCAGCAGCATCATCACCACCACCACCACCACCACCACCACCACCACCATCATCATCATCATCATCATCATCATCATCATCATCATCATCATCATCATCATCATCATCATCTTCAGTATCATCATCATCAACAATATCATCAGCATCAACAGCATCGTCATCATCATCATCAGCAACATAGTCCTCATCACCAGCATCATCATGATCATCACCATCATCATCATCATCATCATCATCATCATCATCATCATCATCATCATCATCATCATCATCATCGTCGTCGTCATCGTCATCGTCATCGTCATCGTCATCGTCATCGTCATCGTCATCATCATCGTCATCATCATCATCATCATCATCATCATCATCATCATCATCATCATCATCATCATCATCATCATCATGACCACCAGAATCACCTCCATCATGGCGAACTGCTGCCAGCCTCTCCGCCCCCAACATCCCCCTCCTCCTCCTCCTCCTCCTCCTCCTCCTCCTCCTCCTCCTCCTCCTCCTCTTCCTCCTCCTCCCCCTCCCTCCCCCTCCCCCTCCCCCCTCCCCTCTCCTCCTCCTCCTTCCCTCCTCCTCCTCCTCCTCCTCCTCCTCCTCCTCCTCCTCCTCCTCCTCCTCCTCCTCCTCCTCCTCCTCCTCCTCATCCCCGCCCCCGCCGCCCCCGCTTCCGCCGCGCGGGACTCTCTCCTGGACTCGCCGGCGTCCCGCGCCGCCGCGGGCGCGGCGGGCGCCGCGTCGCCCTCCGCCGCCCCGGAGGCGACGGAGCCGCAGACGGAGGCGGGGGCCTCTGGAAATGAGAGGGCAGAAAAGCCACCCCCACACCCAGACAGACCCAGACATCGGGCGTCTCGAAAAAATCGAGACGACGGGGTTTTTCTAAGTTGTCGGCCTCTGGAGGCGCTCGCCGGGCCTCGGGACCGTCGAAAAACAACCGGGGGCGAAAAGCCGGTCCCGGGGAAGTGGTCGGGAGGTCGGGAACCCGCGTCTCGAAAAAATCGTGACGTCGGATGTCTGGGGACCCCCTCGCGTTGCTAAAAAACTCGACGGGGAGTTTTTCGCTGCTTTCGGCCTCCCCGGGGGCCCTCATCGGGCCCCCGTCAAGAAACGGCTCGGGATGAGAAACCGGTCACGGGGAAGGGGTCCAGACCTCTGGGGGTCGACGTTGCGAAAAAAACACGACGTCGGGGGTCTGGGGGCAAAAAACACCCCGACAAGCGAAGCCGTCTAGTAAACGCACCAAAGGAACCAATCGAACAGGGCAGGGCTGCATCGCAAACGCCCAAGGCCGTTTCGTAAACGCCATCTGTCGGCTTGGAGTCCCGACACGGTGCGATGACAGACCGTGCGGTGACCTCGAAATCCCCCATGACCTCACCGCACGGCCCGCCACCGCGCGGTCTCGGGACCCTGGAGGCCCCTGTCGCCCAAGACATCCTCGGAGAGGGACTCGAGTCCCAAAACCGTGCGGTGACCCCGAATCGGTTTTGGGACTCGCCGCCCCTGGCCCACAGAAGGGGAGGAGGAGGAGGAGGAGGAGGAGGAGGAGGAGGAGGGAGGAGGAGGAGGAGGAGGAGGAGGAGGAGGAGGAGGAGGAGGGAGGAGGAGGAGGGAGGAGGGAGGAGGGAGGAGGAGGGGTGGTCGCCACCCCGTCTGGGGGTCCCCGCGTCGGGCTCGGGGTGGCTCGTCCTCTTCTGAGCTGGGGGCCGCGGCGCCCCGCGCCTGCGCCGCGCCCGCCGGGCTCGGGAGCGGGGGCTCGGGGAGCTGGGACCTGCGGGGTGGGGCGACGAGATCTACACAGCCGAGGTACTACCAGAAGGAACGCCAAATGAGGAACAAAAGGAGCTTTTTTCAGGCCACGGTGGGCCTAAAGGCCACGGGGAAATCCCGCGACATAAATCTAAGAAACGACCCACATCCCCGAGCCCCTTCCGAACCCACAGCGGTCCTTAGTTCAGCGTCTTGGCTGTACGGCAGGTTCGCGCGGCGTCGGCGCGCGCGCGAAGGTTTCTGTCACCGCGTCGACCGTTCCACCTTTCACCGATCGAGGCCCCGATCGTTCCAGGTTGAAACTCAGCGGGGCCCAGAGGCGTCACCGTGCCCATCGGTGCTTCCGCGCCGCAGAATTCAACCTTGAACGCCTTCGCCGGCGTCGCTGGCGCGCCAACGCCGCACGAACATGCCGTACGTGTCCAAGTCCGCTGGTCAGGCCCATCCCGGGGTCAGGAGCAATGTGTAAATGCCTCTCTGGCCAAGCCAGGGGGGCATAAGCATCGCTCCCAGGCCGAGGATGGGCCTGGCCAGCGGCGGTGGATGTATCGATCTCGTCGCCCTGCGGGAGTGGGCAGCATCGGATCGGCGCATCGAGGCGACGTTGTCCATCTCAGCGACGAGCGGATCGCAGCGATGAAGGCACCGGCGAAGAGAGGAGCGGACAACATCGAAGCGATGAGCGGACAACGATCGGAGTGGAGCATGCACCGCACTGGACCGCATCGGCGCGGGGGTCGGAGTCGGATCGGATCGGGCGCGCCCGGATGCACAGCTGCGCCCTGCGGGCATCGGGCCGCATCGGAAGCCGACGGACCGTCGAAGCCGAAACGGATCGAGCCAACCAGTATCCACAGCGTGGGTCTCCAGAGGTCTGGCCCCCTTCGCGGGGACCAGGTTTCCATCCCGAGCCGTTGTTGTCACGGTCTCGGAGCCTGGGGGAAGTCCCCCGAGGTCGAAAATAGAACCCGCCATCTTGATCATTTTTATTCAGGGCTGAACGATCGCTGCAGTCCCTCGACTCGCGCTGGAGCGCCCACGATTTGCTCCACATTTCCCAGGGATTCCCAGAAGGTAGCTGGATCTACCTCGAACTTGCTGCAGTTAGCCGGATTTTCCTGGCTCGACCCCCACAGGTCGATTGTGGCAAAAAGTCGTCAACGCCGAGGACGGCGACGACGTGGTGGTCGTGGTCGTGGTCGTGGTCGCGGTCGTGGTCATTGTCGTGGTCGTCGTCGTGGTCGTGGTCCTGGTCGTGGTCGTGGTCCTGGTCTTGGTCTTGGTCGTGGTCGTCGTCGTGGTCGTGTGGTCGTGGTCGCCGCCGAGGTCGTCGTCGTCCCCCCTTGGGGGTATCTCACGACGCCGACGAGCCGCATCGGTCAGCCAGAAGGTGGGCCCTGGAGACCGTTTTTGGGGAATCGGCGATAACCCAGGTTATCCGGGGGGTCCGGGGGGGGAGGGAGGAGGGGGCCGAGCCGATAACCTAACCTTCGCGCTGTCGGCAGCCCTGCATATGCCCGCGCCCCCCCACCCCGGACCTGCACAACCGGCAAGGGCACGTTGTCCGGGGGGGAGGGAGGGCAAGCCCGACAACCCGGGTTATCGCGGGACCCTTAACAAAAAACAGTCTCCAGAAGGTGGGCCCGGGACCTGCGGCTCAGCCCCGAGGCCGAGGTGGCCCCGTCCTGCGTGCTGGCGTCCGAGGGCGCCGCGCGGCCCGGGGAGGCTGCGCCAGGCGCGAAGCTGCCCTCCTCGAGCCTGCGCGGGGCGCAGGAAGACAGACTAGTGCTATGCATCCTCTCTGGAGGCGTGCGCCCGACCTTACTGCCATATTATCTATATATATGTATATATATATATACATATATATATATGTGTATATATGTATATATGTATGTATGTGTACATCCATTTGTAACTATGCTACATATAAGAAGATCATATATGCGATAACATGGTATATATAATATCACATGTCGACTGTGTTGAACATGTAATACGATGAACTGTAATATAAGACAAACAAGTAGACTATAGCATAATATACTATGGCTTAATACAATGTACGAGAATAGACTGACTAGGACATACGATAATTTGATATAGTACCAAATTACCTCATATGGTATTATTTGATAGGATATACGATGGTAGGATATGATATGACAAATCAGTTTAAACAGATAATATGGCATAGTATAACTAAATAAAACAGACGTTGATATACCATTGTATGATATATACACCTGGAATAATATTGGATGATATAAGATCAAAGAATAAATTCTTAAAAATAATATAGTATAGTAGAATATAATGTAGTAGAATTGTATCCATATAGTACAGTCAGTTTGAAGCCTATCGTGCCCGGGAGAGGTGTGACCAGAAAGCGCCCGCCACCGTGCGCATACTGTCAGATTTCTCGGCGCGCGCGTGCGTCGCTCCTGTGGGGACGACACACACACAATGGTAATATGTTGGGGGACGCCGCCTGCAAGGACAAGAGACTGGGTAGACGTGCAGCCGTTGTGCTCACATGAAGAACGATTTGGCGCGTGTGGCCACGGCGAGCCTCGGCCACGAATACTTTGCCCGACCTTGGTCCAAGGACCGACCCGAACACCACAGAGACCAGCATGAGCCCAACGTGGTCCTCATTTCAGAACCTTGGCTGATTATCAATCACAAGACCCCTAACCCTTTGGGAGGGGACCCAAGGTAGGAGGGCCCAAAGCATCACGAATACGGTGCATTTTCTGCAGATGTATCAAGCCGAACCGCCAAGAAGAATTATCCCTGATGCAAAGACGAGGACTTAAGTGAGGCCACGTCTCCACAGTGTTATTAGGGTGAAGGGGTCACAGCTATAACAACGATCACTGGCAACGACCACAACGATCACAACGATCACAACAACAACGGCAACCACGATAACCATGATACCTACGATGGCGATCACAACGATTAACGATCACAATGATCGCAACGATCGTTGTGGTTCTGGTCGGAGCCCAAGGTGGCCCTAAGTTCAGCCTCTTGGCTGCCAACGTCTTTTGGAGATCCGTGCGGATCTCTTGGGTCGGCGCTGCCACCCCCCTCTGGCCAGCGCCACCGCCTGGCGCGCTCCGCACGCCCGGGAGCTGGAGCCCAGCACCGATCCATGAAAGCCGCATGGACCTCCAAAAGTTTACGCAAGGACCGACCACAGCTATGTTAAAAGTACGAAGCTGCCTGTTCTTTGAATGAAGAGCGAAACGAATCCCAACGTTTGAACGGACGCTCAGAACGAAACCGGTGCCAAACCAAGCGAACAGCGAGACGACGCGTAGAAAACAATGACGAACGATGAAACGAAACGGAAGCGACAAATACGCAAAAGCAGAGAACTGGCCCAAACCAAGCAACACGTCGTTCATTCCTAATCTTGCTCATTTCTAACTGTGCTCGTTTCTAATTGTTCCTGGCATCCTAGTGGCCAGGAAGAGGCCCAGGATAGAACAATTAGAAATGAAAGGATCTTGGCCCAAAAAAATCAAAGAACTCGAATAATTAGAAATGAACAATGTGTAAACAGCGTTGTGGTCGGTCCTTGAGGTTATGTTCACGCCGATCCCCCTCATTCGGGCGCCGCTCGTATGCGCTCTTCGGCTTGGGCGCGTAGTCTCCCTCTGGCTGGCCGCTGGTGAGGTCCTTCCAGGAGAGCCCAGAATCGAATCGGTAAGTTGGATCGGCGATCGAAATACATTGAATCGGCGACCACCGGCAACCAAGTCGGGAGAAATTGAATCGGCTGAAATCGGCATGCTAGAAGGCCTACGCTAAGAAGCCGAAACCAAAAACGGAAGCCGAAGTCGAATCGAAACGGAATCACAGTCAATCCAAACCGAATCGAGTCGAGTCAGATGAGTCGATATGAGCCCTGTCCTCCTCCGGCGCGGTTCCAACAATCGGATCACGCGGCGAGATCTTGTTCTGCACCTCCACGATGGCTCCGGCCACGAGCGTGCAGATGCAGGCGCCCATCACCAGGAAGAGCGGCAAGTCCGAGGTGGAGCCCGCGGAGGACTTCCAGATAGTGGTCGTGATGTAGATGGCCCACAGTCCGAACAGGAAGCAACTGGACCTCAGCTGCCCCGAAACGCAAAGCTCGAACCGTACATAGCGTGTTGACACGCAGCTTGACACGTAAACTGAAAACTTGGGTCTGGAGCGATACGTTCGCCAAAACGTGGGCCAACGCGCGTGGAGCCAACACGCAGCGTGTTAGCACAGACGTTTTTAACACGGTACAGGCTGCGTTTCATAACAAGCGTATCAAGGCAGCTAAGAACTGGACGCGTTCTTCGACAGCGTGGGCCCACCGAGCTCGCCGCGGTAGCGAATGCGCCGTATCCTGAGAACTACGACGCACATGGCCGCGAGGAAGAAGAAGATGAGCACGGAGAACCCAAGAGAGCCGGCCTGCACCACGAAGGCGCCCCCCGGGTACTTGCCCGGCAAGTCCGTGTTAGAATATGTCCGCTTCCACTTGTCCGTGGCGCCCCACACCGAGCTCCAAAGGACTGACGATACCGTCCATGGTAGGCCGATGCCCAGGAACACGTTCACCGAGTTGCTGCCCGTGACGTTCACGATGGACGCATCCGCATGGTCGTCCTCTTGGGCTGAGGTGATAGACGCGAACATGTCGGGCAAGGAAGTGCCCAGCGCTACGATGGTCACCGCAGTGACCTCCTCGGGAATGTCCGCACAGCAGCCGAAGAAGGAGGCCAGATCGATGACGACGGCAGTGCAGGCAGCGATGTAGAGCAGCGCCATCCCGAAGAGAAGCCACCCGCCACACCAATTACTTGGCGGACATAGGACCGCGAAAAGCACCTTCCAGGGTAGCGACATAGTATGCATCAGATAGTCCATAGGACCCGGAATATCGGACGACTCCACATCTTCGGCGTCATCATCTCCCACTTCAGGGTCAATGGAACAGGCCAGCCTGATCTGCTCAGACCAAGCCTCAAGCCCCATCTGCAAATTGGCCCTGTCTAAGAACCACCTCTCGGACAGTGCCCCGAGCTTCTCTAAGCAACCATCTAGCTGGCCCTCGTTGCCGTTGGCGATGGTAATTGTGCACAGAGCCTTCTCTCGGCCGCCATCGTCGTGGGGATTGAAATGGGCCCCATGGACTGAAGACATATTGTCCGTCTTGATGTCGCTGAGCACGAGCTGAAACTCATCCTCTGGCTCGCCGATCCTCTTGCCGAGGATCTCGACGGTGATCGTGTGCTTGTCCTCGCCAGGGTTAAACTTCAGCTGGCCCTTCTTGCCCACGAAGTCCTGGGATGGGATGGCGCTCAAACTCTCTGTCCTGTACTCGCAGGTCACCGTGCCCTTCGTGCCGTTCCGGCGCAACACGTCGATGGTGAACGAGTGCCTGTGGTCGAGCCTCGACACGGTATTCTCGGTGTCGCTCCGAAAGGCGAGGATGCCGTACGCGTTGTCGATCAGCTTACCCGTCCCGTCCTCGATGCCCTTCCCATTGTCTAGGTACGGCCATATGGTGTCATCCACGCTCAGCGGATCGTCGGCGATGGCCTCCTTCCACCTCTGCACGGTCTTTCGATTGCCGACCTCGAACTCCTGGGTGATCGTGAGGTGCATCTGGGAGAAGCGGACGCGCGGGTGCTTTTTCAGGATGTGCTCGGTGTCGTCCTCCGAGCTGGGCGCAGGGTCCATGGCCATGAAAGGCATGTACCCCTTGTCGGTCAGCCAGGAGACGAAGACGAGCACCGGGAACATCGCGAGAGCGAGGCCCGCTTCCCAGGGGTCTACAACGTCGGGCGTGGAGACGACGACTATGAACCAAAGCCAGAAGTACGCGAATAGAGAAAAAATCCCTCGGCCCCCCTACAGGGGGCCAACAGTGAAGGGGCCCTGGGACATACAAATAGATACACACAAATACCAGGATCCCCCATATTTTCCCATATGTTCTGGGTGTTTGTCCTCCCCCCCACTTCCCATATTTTCCCATATTTTCCTGAGAATCGACGAATGATTGTGTCTGTGTTTTTTCCCCTCCTGAGCATGGCGGGGGGAGGGGGGGACGAAGCGGAAAAAGAGACAGAAGCGCTGTGCACCAGGCGTGGGAGCACCCCTCCCCCTTGTAGTCTGCCCCCCCCCCCCCCTCCCGCCGGCCGCCGGGCCCGAAGTTGCGAACGTGAGGGGGAGAGGTCGACACAATCCTTGCGTTGCCAGCAGGAGCGCATGATAAGGAACGAAGGTGCTCTTCTGACCACGGCGGGCCTGGGCCATAAACACATTCCGCTCCGTAAATCTAAGGAACGACCCGGAAACCCGAGCCCCCCCTGAGCCCACAACGGTCCTTCTTTCAACGCCTTGGCTGTATCCAGGCTCACCCGGAAAGGGGCCGACGAAGCCCTCCAAACCACTACAAGAGAGGCTCCAAGCCACTCCAAGAGAGGGCCTCGACATTTGAAAACATCAACATGTCAATACTCGTTTGTATGTGTGGTTTCTTCGGCTAGTGTGGAACACGAACATCCTAAAATAGTCGCTCGAACGGCCGCCAAGATGGCCCACGGAGAGTTCTGGGAAGTTCCGAAAACGGTCAAGGCGGCCCCCAAGACAGCCCAAGGTAGCGCCCAGAAAGCGCCACGAGCACCCACGGGAGCAACCAAAGTCTCCCAAGGCGCGCAAGGACGCCCCAAGATGGCTCCAGAGGCCCCCCAAAGGCCCTCGAGAGGCCCCCACGAGGCCCTCGGGAAACCCCAGCTCTGCCCAGCATGGCCCCAAGAGAGCTCCCAGACGGCGCACGAAGGCCAGGGAGGCGGAAGACACGCCCCAAACCACTTCCACCAACGCGTGGACAAGACTGGCCCAGTGGCAGGTGGCGCCTCCGACTGTGCCTGCAAGAATTGGACTGTGACACCTCCGCCGGTCCTATGTGAAGAAGCACGTGTTGCACCAAGACAAAGTAGGCGTATGACGCAGACATGGTCTCACCTGTCGACAATCAAACAATCCTGAATTGAATATGTCCTGCGGTGAAAGACGGATTAAAAGTATCCAGGCGAAGGACCCAACCATACGCAGTTGTAAGTACCGCGATTTGGAATATCTTCTTCGGTGGAGCTCCCTATGGGGCCACGAAGCGCTGCACTGGGTGGGGAAAACCGCATGCCGGCGGTAGAACTGAGGCCGTCGGTGGAGCACCCTATGGGGCCACGTAGCGCTGCACTGGGCGGGGGGGGCGCATGCGGGCGGTAGCACTGAGGCCCTTGGTGGAGCTCCCGATGGGGCCACGCAGCGCTGTACTGGATGGGGGGGACGCATGCGGGCGGTAGCACTGAGACCTTCGGTGAGGTTCCCTATGGCGCCATCAAGCGTTGTTCTGGGCGGGGGGGGGACGCATCCGGGCGGTAGCGCTGGGACCTTCGGAGGAGCTCCCTGTGGGGCCACGAAACGCTGCACTGGATGGGGAGGACGCATGCGGGCGGTAGCACTGTGGCCGTGGATGGAACTCCCCATGGGGCCACGAAGCGCTGTACTGGGTGGGCGGGACGCATGCGGGCGGTAGAACTGAGGCCGTCGGTGGAGCTCCCGATGGGGCAACGAAGCGCTGTACTGGGTGTGGGGGGGCGCATGCGGGCGGTAGCGGCGGGGTGGGGAGGCGCATGCGGGCGGTAGCACTGGGGCCGTCGGTGGACCTCCCCATGGGATCACGAAGCGCTGTACTGGGTGGGGGGGGGGCGCATGCGGGCGGTAGCACTGGGGCCGTCGGTGGAGCTCCCTATGGGGCCACGAAGTGCTGTACTGGGTTTGGGTTGGGGGCGCATGCGGGCGGTAGCGCTGGCTGGGACTTCGGTGGAGTTCCCTGGGGCCGTCGGAGGAGCTCCCGATGGGGCCACGAAGCGCTGCACTGGCTGGGGGGTGCGCGTGCGGGCGGTAGCACTGTGGCCGCGGGTGGAGCTCCCCATGGGGCCACGAAGCGCTGTACTGGGTGTGGGGGTACGCGTGCGGGCGGTAGCACTGGGACCTTCGGTGGAGCTCCCTATGGGGCCACGAAACGCGGTAGCACTGGGACCTTCGGTGGAGATCCCTATGGGCCCACGAAACGTGTCAGGGGTGTGCTGAAACGAGTGATGACGATGATGCTGATGCTGATGCTGATGCTGATGCTGATGCTGATGCTGCTGCTGATGATGATGAGAATGATGATGATGATGATGATGATGATGATGATGATGATGATGATGATGATGATGGTGATGATGCTGATGATGATGATGATGATGATTTGATCCTCGACATCAGGACCAAGTATGCAATTGGTGGTCCGTCGCAGACAGCATAACAGAGTCATGTCCCGATAAACCCGCGCGGGGCGAGTGCACTCGGGGTGCTTCGACGCACAGCCAGAGACCGTGTATCTAGTTTGCATGCGAGCGGGTGCTTACGAAAGACTGGCGGTGGCCGATCCGAGTCGCAAGTAATTCAAAGCTCCATTACACGCAGGCGAGCGGGTGCCCGAGTCACTTAACGTAAAAAAGATGCAAATATGGCCGTGGCATCTTCGATGCCTCGTTGGCGGCGCCCACGATCTCCTCAAGAGGGGGGCAGGCATGCGGTGGATGCGCCCTGCGATCTGCGTAGGCCCGTATAGGAGAAAAGATGGGACAGCGACTGCACAGTGAGGATGCGGCGGGCACCATCCTACATCCTACGCCCCGCCGGCCTTGGCCATGTGCTTGATCGGGTCAACGCCACGGCACGAATAGCCCCACTCGTTGCCGTACCAGGCCACGAGCTTCACGAACGCGGGGTCCAGCATGATGCCCGCCTTGGAATCGAAGGTGCTGGAGATGGGGCACGTCTCGAAGCCGGTGGACACGAGAGCCTCGTCGCAGTAGCCCAAGTATCCCTTCATGTCGCCCTCGGAGCGCCTCTTGATCTCGGCGCAGATCTCCTCGTAGGTCGTCGCCTTCTCCAGCTCACAGGTGAAGTCCACGACCGACACGTCGATGGTGGGCACGCGGAAGGCCATGCCCATGAGCTTGCCCGCCCCCCTCTGGAAGCCAAAGATGAGAGTCTTGTTGGACGCCATGTCGGAGTGCATGCAGTTCATCTGGCAGAACGTTGCTCAGGGGCTCGTCGTTCTTTATGAAGTCGCCGTCCTGCCAGAAGCCATAGCAGTCCTCGACGAAAGGCTTCGGCTGCAGGCCATGCGTGGTCAACACGCAGGGCGAGTCCGCCATGCGCGAACTGACAACCACCTTCTCCACTTTGTCGCCCAGCACCTCCTTCATCAGCTTCGTCAGCGGCTCGAACTCCGCCTTCAGCTCCTCCAACTTCTTCTTCTCGTCCTCGTCCTCGAGGTCCAAACCTTCCTTGGTCGTCGACTTGAGCTTCTTGCCGTCGAACTCCTTCAGCTGCTGCACGGAGTACTCATCGATGGGATCGGTTATGTAGAGGACCTCAAGACCCTTCTTGCGCGGCGTTTCCAGGGAAGGCGAGGACGACACCGCTGCGATGCTCTCCCCCGTACTGTAGTTAATGTCATTCTGCCCCTCCTTCATGCGGTCCACATTCTCCTTCAGGCTGATCATCTCATCTCCAGATTTCGAGGTGTGGTAGCGCATAAGCTCCGCGACCTTGGTGCGGTTGGTGGAATCTTCGTGCGCGCCAAGCTTGAGGCGCTTGCCGATCTGCTCGTGGAGTTTCTTGTAGTCGTCTTTCTTCTCGGCGATCTCCGCAAACATCTCGAGGCACTTCTTGACGATATTCTCCTTGATCACTCGCAAGATCTTGTTCTGCTGCAGCGTCTCGCGGGAGATGTTCGGTTTGATGATGGTGTCGACCACCAGGCCAGGCCCGTCGAACAGGCGCAGGTGCTGCGGCGGGACGTAGATGTCGTAGCTCTTGTCGTAGCCGACGTCACCCATCCCCTGGTTGTTCCCGATTCTGAGGATCAACACGGTGCACATCATGGCGCGGCTGTTCGTGATGTCGCGGTCGAACAAGGCCGATTGCCCTTCTTCACGTCGGACTCGACACGGTGCGGCGTGCAGAGCACACGCGCCGGTGCACATCGCCCTGCGCGGGTGGGGTGCTTGGCCCTCTGCAGACTGCGAAAGCACGGGGGGGCGCGTCCTCTGAGGCCGCTGCGCCTCCGATGGCTCGAGCTCGCGGCGGCCTTTGATGATGATGATGATGATGATGATGATGATGATGATGATGATGATGATGATGATGATGATGTTGCTGATGATGATGATGATCATGCTGATGATGACGACAGGAGGAAGGAGGGGGCAGCGAGAGTGAGGACGCGGGGCGCTGTCTTTTCAAGACGAGGACCCAACACCACAGGATGGTTGGAAACAAATGGATTGCACAAGCTCCGCATCATACAAAAGGAACTACTCAAAAAATATGATGAACCGCGTCGGCCATGCCATAAAGCTTTGGCTGTTAGATAAACGCTGCACTGTGCACCCACAGTCGCCAGCGACAAATAATTTCGGTTGCAACTCATGGAAGCCTCCCATACCATCTTGTTGGCCGACACGAATCGCCGCGAGCGCATGCTAATCGACGCTACATCGACGCTAAACGACGCTAAGTCGACGCTATCGCATCGACTACCCAACGCTAACCGACGCTAGTGCACTCGAGTGGCAAAACTGCGAGGATACAGCCCTGCTCAGAATTAAGGAGCGTCTGGGCTAAGAAAGTGGCCTTCACTCCAAGCGTTTTCTTGAACAGTAGTGCAGGTCCAGATACAATCAAAAACCCTAATAAGGACGCGCGGTAAGGACGCAAGACCCTTGCACGCCAAAGTTGGGATTGTTGGGGCGGCTGGCGACGGAAACCTCAAGGACGCAAGAGCAAGGAAGAGCAAGGACGCAAGGGTACCCTGAGCATAGTCGCGCGTCCATATTAGGGTTTTCGACTGTATACGGAAGTTCTACGACAAAAAGGAAGCTATGAGAAAACGGCTAGGGCACAGTCCAGATTCTTGCTTCCCGTAAACGAAAGCTGGAGTCAACTAAAACTGACGATTTTTATTAGTGTATACCAGGCCCCCCCCCGACCAACGTCCCAAATCCGGATAGCGAAGTAGTCAAATATGACATCCGCGCGCTCGAAACCATGTAGGAGACGCTTGCAAGGACGCTTGAAAGGATGCCTGGGCAGCTTGCAAGCTTGAGAAAGAAAGGAGCTGCGAATGAGCTCAGGAAGCGGTGCGAAGGAGCTGCGCAAATGCTTGTGGCACAAATATTGGGAACGAGTGCGAAAACGCTTCCGGGACACGCTGCCAGTTCAAGCAAGGCAGCGGCGCTGCCTGCCTGGCGCCAGGACGAGCTCTCGGGCCACCCTTTGCTGCCGGCTTCTAGTCTGAAGCCCTCTCCCAGACATCTGGCTGCTACAATTTGTTGGATGCGCGGGCCCTCGAGGTCTGGACCACTTCCCCAGGGCCGGTGGTTCGTCCCGAATCCTTTTTTGACGCTCCCGAGGCCCGGCGAGGGCCCCCGGAGGCCGAAATCAGCCCCAAAGCGCCCGCTCCAATCTTTGCTGCAGCGCCGGAACTCTGGGCTCAGCTCTCCAAGAGCTGCCCGGGAATGCCCCGCTGCCGAAGCAGAGTGGCGCCCTGCGGTGCTGGGCGGCCCAACCTCCCCTCGGGCCGTGCGCCGCGTGAGCTCCGGCAGACGGCCCCTGGGGACGTCCCATGGGAGGCCGCGGAGGCAGAAGCGCACGAGGGGCAGCGCCGGGCTCTGACGCGGCCGCCCTGCTCCCGCTGTGCGCGTGTGCGTGTGCGTGTGTGTGTGTGTGCGTGTGTGCGTGTGCGTGTGCGTGTGCGTGTGTGCGTGTGTGCGTGTTGTGTTGTGTTGTGTTGTGTTATGTTGCGCTGTGTTGTGTTGTGTTGTGTCGTGTCGTGTCGTGTTGTGTTGTGAGTGCGTGTGCGTGTGCGTGTGCGTGTGCGTGTGTGCGTGTGCGTGTGCGTGTGTGCGTGTGTGCGTGTGTGCGTGTGTGCGTGTGTGCGCGTGTGCGCGTGCGCGCGTGCGCGCGTGTGCGTGTGCGTGTGCGTGTGCGTGTGCGTGTGCGTGTGCGTGCGCGTGTGCGTGTGCGTGTGCGTGCGTGTGCGTGTGCGTGTGCGTGTGCGTGTGCGTGTGCATGTGCATGTGCGTGTGCGTGTGCGTGTGCGTGTGCGTGTGGGTGTGTGGTGTGTGGTGTGTGGGTGTGTGGGTGTGTGGTGTGTAGGTGTGTAGGTGTGGTGTGTATGTGTGTATGTGTGTATGTGTTATGTATGTGTGTGTGTGCGTGTGCGTGTGCGTGTGCGTGTGCGTGTGCGTGCGCGTGCGCGTGCGCGTGCGTGTGCTGTGCGTGTGCGTGCGCGTGCGCGTGTGCGTGTGCGTGTGTGCGTGTGCGCGTGTGCGTGTGCGTGTGCGTGTGCGTGTGCGTGTGTGCGTGTGTGCGTGTGTGCGTGTGTGCGTGTGTGCGTGTGTGCGTGTCTGCGTGTGTGCGTGTGCGCGTGTGCGTGTGTGCGTGTGTGCGTGCGTGCGTGCGTGCGTGCGTGCGTGCGTGCGTGCGTGCGTGCGTGCGCGCGTGCGCGTGTGTGTGTGTGTGTGTGTCCAGAGCGCGTGCTCGGCGGAGCCCCCCACGGGAGAGCGATGCGGCCGAGCGAGGTGCCCGAGCGGTCGTGTCTCTGTCCCTGGGTGCGCGGCTGGAGTGGGGCTCCGCGGCGCGGATCGTTGTGTTGCGGTTTGTCGGTCTGTTTGCTTGCTCGCTTGCTCGCTTGCTTGATTGCTTGTTTGTTTGTTTGTTTGCTGCTGCTCCTGCCGCTGCTGCTGCTGCTGTCGTCGTCTCACTCGCGACCCGGCCCGCGACCCGGCCCGCGACGCACCCGCGACGCACTCGCGACCCGCCCCGCGCTCGCGCGCTCACTCCTACCCGCAACTGCGGGATGCTCTATATTTGGTACTTGTTTGTTGCTCCAGCCTCCCTCTATGTTTTGTCTTGCCGACGCGCCGTTCGGCGCATGGTTTGTGGACTGCGGAACAGCCCTCCTCCTCCTCCTCCTCCTCCTCCTCCTCCTCCTCCTCCTCTTTCTCCTCTTTCTCCTCCTCCTCCTGCTCCTCCTGCTCCTCCTGCTCCTCCTCATCCTCTCCTCCTTCTTCTTCTCCTCCTGCACCTGCCTCGAGAGAAGGAGGAGGAGACTGAGGAGGAGGATGAGGAGCTCCTTCGCTGTTTAATGCTATGAGGAGGGGGGGAGGTGGGGCAGGGTGGGTGGGTGCTTGCCTCCTCGACCCCCCTCGGCGGGCCGCGGGGCGCGCGGCATCGAGGGCGCGACAGCGACCTCTTGCCGGCGCCAGCGCAGCAGCAGCAGAAGGCGGCGGCGGCCGCGGCGGAGGAAGAGGGGGACCCGGAGCAGGTGGGCGATCTGCGGGCGAGCGGCGTCGCGGACGCGACGGCGACCTCTCGCCAGCGCGAGCGCAGCAGCAGCAGCAGCAGCAGCAGCAGCAGCAGCAGCAGCAGCAGCAGCAGGGAACCGGCGGGGGCGGCGGAGGAGGAAAAGGGAGACGCTGAGCAGGTGGGCGATCTGTGTCGGGGGTTGCTAGAAGTGCCCCTGGACCAAGGTGCCCCTCCGAGGCTCTAGTACACCGCCGTGACAAAAGATTCTGCGGTTTATGATATGTTGGAATCTCCTATCCCTCTGAAGATTCCTAACATTGACACGCGTCCTCCGCGATCCCGCGGAGTAATTCGTCGACCTCTAATTAAAAACGTTGTTATCTCAAAACAAGATCGGAAATTACTCCACCCATTCCTATATGAAAAATGGGACGGGATGCATGTCCACGCGGAGTAATTTCTACTCCGCACACTCCGTTTACTCCGCCAGTCTTGAGTCATGTTGAATGAAGACCGCATCATACTTTTGTCATGGCAATGTAGGGCATCCCTCGCGAGGCCCAGGGGGCCCCAGGGGCTCCAACATTGATCGACCTGCTGGGGGCACCTTGGGCCAGGGACCCGGAGCAGGTGGGCGATCTGTGTGGGTGTCCAGATATGTTTTGTTGTTTCTTTCCTGGGTAAGGGTCGTTACCAGGGGAGGGGGTCGGGCGGGCGCGTCACAGTAACGGCGGCCGCGGCGTGCACCAGCCACGGTGCGTCCGCGCCACTGGCGCGTGAACCGCCTGTGTGCACCACAGCATGTAGGGGGGGGTCCAGCCCCCCCTCCCCCCAGTTCGGGGATCTTCTGACCCGGGTCAATCCAGACCCGGGTCAGCAGGAAAACAAAAAACTGCAATGCAGGACAAAAAAAACTGCAATGCAAGTCTTCGCAAACCTGGGTCAGCCAATATGCGCGGCCGCCTCGCGGCCACGAGCGGCTCGCTAACCCGAGTCAGCCAGAGGGGATCTTCGCAGGATCCTGCAGGATCTGGTTCCCTGGCTGAGCCCCGTTTGCACTGACCCTCGTCTCTAGAGCCCCGACCAGTACAATCGTCAGCGATACTGGGGGGGGGGGGGCGTGTGGCCCGGGCAACGAGCGTTACCCTGGGGAGGAAAAATAGGCGCGCACACACAAACAAACACACACACACACACACACACACACACACACAACACACACACAACACACAACACACACACACACAACACACACACACACACACAACACACACAAACACACGATTCTGGAAGTGACCTACACTCACATGTTCCCCCAGCGTCCCCCGCGGAAGCGTGGAAAGCGTGGAAAGCGTCGAAAAGGGCAGCAAGGCGGCTCAAGATGTCCGCAAGACGGCCCAAGATGGCCCCAAAGCAGGCCTGGGACGGATGGCAGACGGATCCACGATGGCTGTGAGAAAATTCACAAGGCCCCAGGAGGCCCAAGGAAACTCCACGATGGCTGAAGACACCCCAAGAGGGCTCCAGTCCAACAGGACACCCACAAGGCCCCTAAGTGGCCCATGGTTTAGGCATGCTCGGCATTTCGGACGTCGGAGCGTCCAAGAGGGCCCAAGAGGCCCCGAGTATCGCCCGAAGACGGCACCAACGTGCGCCAATAAGCACCAAGGGAGACCCAAGACGGCCCAAGGCCGGCGCAAAACAGCACCAGAAGGCCACAGAAGCCCCACGAGAAGGGCCTCAAGGAGTCGCAAGAAGGCCCCAAGACGGCCGAACAGGGCCCCAAGAAGGCCCCACGACGGCTCCCAGAGATCCCTCGAGGGGCCAGAGGGACCCAAGACGGCCCCAGAGACGGCCTCAACGCGGCTCGAAGACATGCCCAAGGCGGCCCACGAGCGGACGAGACGCTGGTCCAGCCGCGCAACCCGCGAAGCGGTATACATCAGTGTGACATGGTACACGGCCATTCCTTCAATAGATCTATGGTCCGTAGGGTCCGCAATGGCGAGGATGCAGACCCCAACGATCACAAACAAATTGAACGCCGCCGAGCCCACAATGGTGGAAGGGCCGAGCGCCCCGCTGTAGCCCTCGTCCTTTAGCATCTCTATGCAGGACAGCAGGATCTCGGGAGCCGATGACCCCAGCGCCAGCAGCGACAGGTTGGCCACCGTGTCGTTCCACCGCGTTTTCGTCACCCAGCGCTTGTCTGCGGTCTGTACACGGATCTTCCGGCTAGTGATCATCTCAACCGCATTCATAAAGTAATCCGATACGACGTTCACGCCGAGGAACAAGTAGAAAAGCGCAGTCAAGTAGATCAGGGCACGCACGCCTGGGCTCAAGCCTTGTTCGCCATCTCCAAAAAGAGGCATCATCAAACCACCACATGAACCTACCATGCAAACTCTGAGGTCTCCGTCGCAATCGCCAGGCACAGTTGCATTATCCATGTCGTCAGACATCGCGACCGGCTGCTGCGGTAGCGCCTGCGCGGCACCAGTCTTTAGAAATATAACATTTCAATAATCTGGCACAACATTTCTTGAGCCAAGACGGCCAAGCAGCACTGAGAAGTGAAGTAATGATGGTGATGACGATGATGGTGACGATGATTATGGTACTACGCATGAAGATGGAGATGAGGATCATGATGGCTATGGTGATGCTGGCGGCCATGACGCAGAGCAACGAGGAAAGGGAAAAGAAGGGTTACGAGCAATTGGAGCAAGGATGATCAGGAGGAGGATGCGGAAGGGATGGGTGACTTGGTGAGTGAAGGGGAAGAATTAGGAGAGGAATGGGGGGCCTCCTCCCCCTCATTTCCCGGTCCCTCTCTCGTCCTGCTCCACCTCCCACTCCTGCTGAATCCCCTTCTTCCTCCTCTTTCACCTCCGCATCGAACCCCCCACCTGCCCGCTCTCCTCCTCCTGCTCCTCCTCCTCCTCCTGCTCACCCTCCTCCTAATCATGGTCATCATCGTCATCATCAACATCGTCGTCATCATCATCACCACCATCATCAGTATCAGTATCAGTATCCGGATCATCATTACCGACATCATCACCATCATATTCCTCTTCGCCGTCATCCGCATCAAAGCCAGCATCAGCATCAGCATCAGCAGCAGCATCATGACCATCATCAGCAGCATCATCACCACCATCGTCATCATTCGCATCATCCGTATCATGATCACCAACAGATTACCATCACCATCATCATCAGCATCATCATCACCAGCAGCATACTCATCATCATCAGCATCATCATCATAATCAGAATAATACGAAAACAAGAAGAATAATATAGTAAGAATACAAATGATACTAATAATCAAAATACGGATAATAAACATATGAGAATGCCCCTCCCCCTTGCTATGCCCAGAACGTCCATGTTGCTAGAATCTGCTGGTATTGGCCAACGAGGGTGATTTCTCTCTCTGACCCCCCCCCTGAACTCGCTGAAGACTTTGCACTCGACGAGCTTGACCGGTCTCCAGATTGCTTCAGTTTCGAACCTAAGCGCCGAATCCGAGTCCACGCACGCACGGAGCCAGGCGCCCCAAAGGCGCATAGGCAAGATAGACCACTCAAAAAAGCCAGAAAACAGACACGCCAAAAGCGTGCTTTGTGCGCAGGGGAAGAGGACGAGGAGGAGGAAGGGAGGCGGCGGAGCAGGAGGAGACAAGCTAGGTGCGCTCGCGTCAGATCTCACGTCGCACCCCTCCCTCCCATCCCTTACCATGGCGTAGATATCCTCTCTATTCGCAAAGTCGGATGTCGAGCAGGGCAATGCTCGCGAGAGGGTACGCGATGCATGGTAGAGCACGGCATGGCATGGCGTAGAAGAGCACGGTAGAGCGTAGCATGACATAGCATGGCGTGGCATTGCGCAGTGAGGCGCTGCATCACAAAGCACTGCAAGGCAGAGCGTGGCATCGCACGGCGGCGCAGCACACGACATCGCACAGCATGTCGTGGCATGGCGCCAAGCTCCTTGGAGGGTACATGGATCGACTTCGAGAGGTCTGGGCCAGTCTGGAAATCGTGGCTCCATGTCTAGCTCCTCGGGCTCCCCGAAGAGCTCCAGGCCAGGCGGGGCTGATGGAGGGCACCCGCTGGCTCTGCTTGCAGCATCGCTTTCTCATCAAAGCACAAGCGGGGCCCCCGCTTGATACTTCCTGAAAGCGACGACGCCCCAAAGTGGGGGGGGGGGCTTACGCGACCCAAGTTTCAACGAATCGGCACCGAATGCGGAATCGCTTCCGACGTTTTTTTTCGGGGGGACCTTTTCGAGATTTTGGGGACCATTTGGAAGGAAGGCCAGGCCAGCTCTGCTGCGGGAGCACGATCGATTCGGAACGAGCGGAGGCGCGGAAATGAGGCCAGCGCTGCAGCGGGAGCAAGATTCGGAACGAGCGGAAAACCGACAATGAAGCCAGCGCTTCAGCGGGAGCAACACTTCGAAAACAAACCCAAGCGAAAACCCAACTTCCCGGAATCCTGTATAAAGCACCAGTAATTACGGGGATGGGGGCCGGATTTCTTCTGGACGTCATCAGGGGAGAACAAAAACTAGTATTCATGTTGTGTAAGTTGTCGAGGGGAGGAGGAGACGAGGGAGGAGGAGGAGGAAACGTGTCCAATGCCATTATGTTGTCCCTGGCTCCTTGGAAGTCACTCCGCCTTGTCGCAATGAACGGACACGTCGGATGGGCGGGCGTGTCGCTTGAGACTTTTTCACCACAGGGGGGCCCAACAGCTTAAACTCCCCAGCATTTACGCGGAAGGAGGGGGAGCAATTTTCAAGATGATGATCCCCCACAGAATTGCCGAGCACATTCGTCTGTTGTATTCCTCAATAGCGACAGGGAAGGAGAGCGGCCCGTTCTCAAAAGCGCGACTCTCGCCGCAGCGCCGCACACACTCGTTCGTTGGAGCCCCACCGGCTAGACCCTGCTTAGAGCTCGACGAACTTCAAGCAAAGCAAGTGGACTTCACCTCAAGCGTCTTCTTAAGCAGTAGTCCAGGTCCATAATAGGAACGTTCTACCAAAAGAGTATATCCGAGAAAACGCCCAGGGTCCAGTCCGGATCCTTGATTTTGTAATAAGATCTGCAGTCCATGAAGGTCGGCCTTTTTCTGCAGACTTCCGAGGGGTGTGCGCGGATGGACGGCGGCCCGTGTTGAAGATGCGTCTCTCGCCCGAGCGTCGCGCCCAGTCGTCGTAAAGAGTTCGCCAGCTACACGCGACCCTCCCTTCCTCCTCCTCCTCCTCCTCCTCCTCCTCCTGCTCCTGCTCCTCCTCCTCCTCCTCCTCCACCTCCTCCTCCTCCTGCTCCTCCTCCTCCTCCTCCTCCTCTCTCCTCCTCCCTCCTCCTCCTCCTGCTCCTCCTCCTCCTCCTCCTCCCCTCCCTCCTCCTCCCCTCCCTCCTCCTCCTCCCTCCCTCCTCCTCCTCCCCTCCTCCTCCTCCTCCTCCTCCTCCTCCCTCCTCCTCCTCCTCCTCCTCTCCTCTCCTCCTCTCCTCCTCCTCCTCCCTCCTCCTCCTCTCCTCCTCCTCCTCCTCCTCCTCCTCCTCCTGCTCCTCCTTCGAGCCGCCCCTCCCCCCGTCCCTGGCGGTGGTCCGCGGCCCAGGCCTCGGGCCGGAGGCCCGAGGCCTGGGCCGCGGAGAACGCTCTCGGCGGAGAGCGCTCTCGGCAGGGCGCAGCCGCTGGAAGGGACCCCGAGGCAGGAGATAGGGACAAGGAAAGGCGACACCAACACCAACAGGGCGAGGAGATGCGAGGAGGCAAGGGGGGTCTCCCTGGTGGTGTGGTCCCCCCCTCTCGCTCGAGACATCCCCAGCCTCCAGCTCGGGGAGGCCTCGTGGACCTCCTCGCTGGAGGTGGCCCCCTGTTGGTGTTGGTGTCGCTTCTCCTCCCTCCGAGGAGATCACCAGGAACCAGCGAAAACTCCAGAAACCCTTGAACCTCGCACCGATGGAGCGCCCGCTTTCGCTTCCGAGCGGGAGCTGCGCCCGAGTGGCAAGGCTCTGGGGCGCACCTCGTTCCGAGCGGCGCGTCCCGCCGCCGGCATCATCATCACTACCGCCACCATCATCTTCATCACCAGCACCAGCATCATCAGCATCATCGTCATCACTATCATCGTCATCACCACCATCACCATGATCAGCATCGTCAACATCGTCAACAGCGTCACCATCGTCACCATCGACACCATCACCAACACCGTCGTCACCATCGCCACCATCGTCGTCGCCGCCATCAGCCATCACCATCACCACCGTCGTGGCCATCGCCATCATCACCCTCAACATCACCGTCGTCGTCGTCGTCATCACCGTGACTCTCGACCCTCATGTTCGAGAAGACCCCATGTGATAAGTTTGCAAGGAAAGGCTGGCCAACATCGCCCTCGTAACCATCATCGTCACCACCGTCGTCTGCAGCCCCCCCGCGGGGGGGCAACGGGCGCGCAGCGCGTGGGGAGACCGCTCTGCACCGCCGCGCGCCGGACGAGGCCGCGGGCGGCGGGGGCCACGCAGAGCACGCGGGCGGTGTAGCCGCCTGCAGCGGCCGTCGTGGCCGCCGCCGCCGCAGTTCGGGACGCAGGCAGGACGAGGGAACGAGTCGGATCGGGGTGCAATCCAGCTGCTACCAGGAGGTCGAGTGGGGGATCGTCCACGGAGTCGGTTTACCCAGGAAGTCTCGGACGCGTGGAGCTGAGGAGGAGGAGGAGGAGGAGGAGGAGGAGGAGGAGGAGGGAGGAGGAGGAGGAGGAGGAGGGAGGAGGAGGAGGAGAAGCCATTTGTGACCCTAAAGAAGTAAACATGACAACAGCTTCACAGATGGGGAGCGGGTCGTTTCTCAAACGTGGCTCTCGCCGGAGCGCCGCGCCCACTCGCCACAAACAGAAGGCAACTGTTTCACAGATGGAGGGCGGGTGGTTTCTAATATATGTGGCTCTCGCCCTCTCGCCTCAGCACCGAGCAAAATCTTTTTCAAAGTTGGCAGTTGTTTCACGGATTTAAGGGCGGGTGGCTTTCAAAATATGGCTCTCGCATGAGCGCCGCGCACACTCGTTTGAAACAATTGTAAGGGTTTCAAGGATTCTGAACGGTCCGTGTTAACACCTGTGGCTCTCGCCTGAGCGCCGCGCGCATTCGCCCTAGAAAGTGTGCAAGAGTTTCGCTGATTGAAAGCGGGCCGTTTTCAAAATATGGCTCTCGCCGTAGCGCCGCGCACATGTGTTTTAAAACATGAGAAGAGCTTCATGGGGTGAGAGCGGGACGTTTTCAAAATGCGGCTCTCGCCCGCCGCGCACATTCGTTCTCAAGGCAAAATGTGACTCTCGCTTGTAAGAGTTTCACTGGTTCTCAAGGTTAACTTGCAATACGCTGCGTTTTGGAACGATTCAGGACTGCCAGGGCGCATCAGTTACCTTGACTCGCGGTGTTGATGTCCCTGGAATGGTGTTCTGGCACGTTTCAGGATCGCCAAGACATAACAGTGAAAATATCTCGTGGCGGTGAAATCCTAAGAACGGTGTTTTGGCACGCTTCAACATTTTCACGCGGTTGTCCCCCAACGGGGCAATTCCCTCAGTGTCACACAACCCTTGCTGGGTTTTCACTGGACATCCTCCTCCTCCTTCGCCTGATCCTCCTCATCCTCCCCCCCTCTCAGCATCATCATCCTCATTATCAGCAGCATCATCAGCAGCAGCATCAGCATCAGCATCAGCATTACCATCATCATCACCATCATTTCCTTCCTCTTCCTGCTTCTGCATATCATCATCATGCTCCGCCTGCCACTGAAATCCAAACGCTCGATCCCGACCATGGCTGGGCTCAATTGGTTCATGGTCGACGTGCACCTTCTTGATTGAGACGCCGAAGTGCAATCACAGGATACCCGCGCATTAAAGGAAAACCGCATGACTTCCTTGTGCTGTGTTTCATGCGGCACTGTAGACTAACACTCTCGTACAAGCGATGCTTCCTGA